TTTTTCGAGAAGTTTTCCCATTATCACACGAGGGGAATTTTCAAGACTGCCATATTGCATTTCTAACATTTTTACATTCATTGCATGAAGATATAGATGCTGCCCATCTTCCGCTGAAAATCATACACGTATATTAAATATAATTTTTCATAAATAAATTAAAAATTATAAACAGAAATAAAAATAATAAAAAGTATTAAGAACCTTGGTAAAAATAAAAGAATTTTGGTATGTCTGAGGTTAATTGAACGCCGTTAGACGAATTTTCCGCAGATTTTAATATTTCTTCATCCACGTCCTTTTTATTCCTTTTTGTTGAAGTATTTGTTTCTTCATAGTCTTGAGATCTTGATTGAGATAAATGTTTCTCAATATCGGCTTTTTCTATTTGTAATTTGTAGGCCAATGTTGAAGTTTCATTTAGAGGAATTTCTGATTTTACCTGTAAAGAATTTTGCTATTCGCAAAAACTTTTACTTATAATGCTTTAAGTTAGGAAGTAAAAAAGTCTATTTCAATTAATTTTACCCTTTGTAATAATTCCCCTTCTCTTTTCGAAAGTTCATCAAGCGCCTGTTCAATATAACAATTTTCCGGAGAATCAGGATTATCTGATAGTTCAAATTTCAACTGTGTACGTTCACATTCAATGATATTCATCACCTGAATTATAATTCATGATACGAATCATAATTAGCATTGACAGTTTTAAATTTTTACACTTTGATTTTTGGAAGACTCAGGAACTTACATCTTCTGTACTTGCAATAAGGAGTTTTGAATACACTTGATTGCTAATAGTCTCTGATAGTGGGAAAAAGTTTGTTGGATTGTGAATTACAGATCCAACAGGTACTGCAAGCAGTGACCCTTTTTCACGGCGCATCAAACGTAAAGTGATAGTATCTCCTAAATTTAACGTACTTTGAGTGACTTCGTTAACACTGAAATAGAAAAGAAAAAGAGAATTTTAATTTCTTCACAAAAATTTAATTAAAAAGTGTATTATTATTTATACATTCAAATAAATTACCTTTTTAAATCAGATTTTTGAACAGATTCATCACAAATAGGACATTTACGCGAGGGTTTATCAGAAAGTGATAAATAATGAAGGATACATGGCCAACAATAGACGTGACCACAACGTGTTATTTTTCCAGCAACTGGTGGATACAAACATATCGGGCATGATAAGTTTTCAGAACTGTGAAGTTTCTAAACAATAAAATTTCATGATTATCATGATTATTATTAAAATAAACAGAATTTAAAAAATCTTTTACCAACATATTTATAACTTACAATTTGTTCTATCAATTTCCAGTCAACTAGTACATCAGGATCACTTAAATATAATGTATAATTCCCATTGGCATTTACAACAAACTGGCAACTAAAGAATAGTAAAACAATAAAATTTATGTTAGTATGTTAACCTTATATCATTGTCATACCTTATATTCTACCAACCTTATGTCAAATTAATATATAATATGTTACCTAGCTTGCAAAAACTGTTCTTTGTTGTATTTATGGCGTTGCACTGGTGGAAGGCATCTATTACTGTTCCGAGGCAAACCTTTTATCAATTTTCCATGATTCCATGTACCTGAACCACCTTGCATTTCACGTGGTTCATAATGAAAATTCAGCAGATGATTCAAGTTCTGCTTTTTACTTCCTTGGACCACTACTGAGCCAGGCTCAGCTAATTCTGCTTGCACTACCTAAAAATTTAAATAATTTGAATCTAGTTTTATATATAAATTAAATATGCCAAATACAAACGAATGTGGGAAGTAACCTTGGTATCCTCCTTTGAACTGCCATGATATTGTCCTTTAGGTTTTGGTCTCTTATCAAAATTTTTTGTTTTTTGTACATTACACTTCCTTGATTGTTCAGATTTTGAAAAATTGCTAGTACCTGCTGATTCACGTCTGCGCGAGCTCCTTGGAAAAAGTTTGTTTATAATATCTACATAAATAATAATTTATAATTTTTTAAGTTTTTTCAATAAAACACTGGTATAATTTCAAGATATATTATAAACTATGTATATATATAAATATATATACACATATATATAATGAAAAATGTTTCAGATAAAAATTGAATGTTTTGAAGAGAATATAATTTTATGTGATTAGTTTTTTTACAGGAAGATGCGTAGAGGACATATGAAGGTCAAGTTTGCTGTTCTAGATGGAATAATATATTTTTGATCACGTTAGTTGACCTAGGTCATAATTCTACATAAAGAGGTATTAAATCTCTTCTTATAAAAAGACATTAGTTTAGGAGATATTTTAACTTCAATTACTCAACAGTAATTAAATATTATATATATACTATTTTTGAAGTAGACACCTATACTAGATTATACATCATTCAAAATCTTTTAATTTTGCTTAATGAAATTCCTTTTTATCTTCTATTGTTTCAGAACTATAGCTTGTCCTAGTTGCCTTGTAGGGCACCTTGTACAGAATTAATTAGTATTTAAATTTGTATATATATTACAAGAATGTTTCATACGTATCAGTCTATGAATTTTCGAAGAATTCAACGGATTATACAGATAATTAAAATATTTTATCAAAATAGATTGTTACAAATAGATATAATGAGTAGTAGAGATCAGTATTTCTAAAAGAAGTCATAGGACATCAGAAATAAATGTCTTTTTTGTAAAAAGTAAGCAACTAAGACGTCAGAGAAATGGTGACGTCGTTATCGAAGCAATCAACATTCAGATAACGCACCTTGGTTTTTTTTAGCATCAGCAGGAACCCCCTTTGCGGAGGATTGTGGAAATTTCGTATTTTTTTCCATTTCTGGCACGAAAGCGTTCGTGCTGAATTCCAGATTTGTTGAGGCTACGGTTTCCTCCGTATGGAGAAACAATGTATTTCTGCAGGCCCTTCATCTTCTTCAATAAGCCATGTTTCGTTATCGTCAAAGGTGAAGAAAAATTTCTTGAGATGCCGATAGTTCACGGCCGATGTGACGGTACTAGGGTGACCAAAAACACAGGTGTTAACAGAGCAAAAGCTCTGCTTTGCTTTTCGTCGTAAACGATGATGATCCCAATTTCTGGCTCAACGGCCAAAAGCGATCCCGATCTCGTCGCTATGATGGCGACGAAACTGATGACTTGCGCAAGTAGTAATACGTGATACACATCAAATACTAGAATAATTTACAAACATTTTGATAATGAGCTAATATTATTAGTGTGGATTTTGATTCTTTTTTTATCTCTATAGATACACATTAAAAATGATGTATTTATATAGAGTGCGTAATTTTCGATATGACATTGGTGGATAACATAATTTAACTTCCGTTTTACAAAAACTTTCGACTAAATTCTATCATATCTCTTGTATACCTATGTAGTATATGATACAAGCTATGATACAACCTATGTAGTATATGATAATAATCATTTAATGTTATTGTATTTTAGAAAAAATAAAATATTGGGTCGTTTAGAAAGTTTGTTCCGATTTACACTTCGATTTGATATACATTTATTGAATTATATAGGTGCTATTTTGTTCCATAACCTTTCTACATATTTCATGCAATTTAAATATTCCACCCTTTCAGAACCTCTCAGGTTTTTTGGCGAAAAACTTTTCAATATAATCTTTCTTGTCGATCAAATTCCTTAAAAATCAGAACGAACTTACTGGGCGACTCAATACGTACAATACAATTTTAATTTATTTTTTGATAAGTAACTACATGTTGTTATAATTATAGAGTAACAGTTGAATTACCGATATAGTAATACATATGTAAAATATGTTGATTTTGTTGTAAATAAAATTAATTTACATTCACTTAACATAATTTTAATCAAGGTCTAGAAAATTATATAAATTAGTAATATATTGAAATTATAGCTGAAATCGTTTTGTCAAATGTTCAATCACTGGAAAATAAGAGTCTATTCTTAACCAGTTTTTGACAACATATGTATTATAAAGTTGCCCTAAAAGATGTCGCGGCGAGCTTGTTCTTTACATGTTCACTTGGTAATGTAACAGCGACGAAGGAAAAAGTAATATGTATTTAATATTTACGTAAGAAGTTATTACAGTTTACTTATATTATTATTCGGACACACCATTATCTTTATATTTGTTGTGTTATATAAGATGTATAATTAAACATTATCGTTAAAAAGAAATTGTTCTCGTGGAATAAGCAAATCGATATTTAAATCATACCCTCCTACACAAAGCAACAAATACAGAGATAGTAATGTCCGAATAATAATATGAATAACTGTATATAATTTCTGTTATTGCTAAAAATTTTACATTTTAAGTATATTTAATATTTTAATTTTTGATTCTTTATGTAGAAAAATAATTACACTAACTTTCTATTATTTCTGAGTGATATTGATTTCTGTAATTACAATCACGTAGTGATCTTCATCTATAGTGCAGTATAAATTTATTAATCTACTAAAAAAATTTATATATGTAGAATCATACATGGTGCGCACATTTAAGATACGATGAATTTGTATATTCAAAATACACATACATAGTTTTAAAGTAATCAATTTAGATTTTAAAGTTAATTTTAAAGCAATCAAAAATAACATTCTAGGATAAGGAATAAAAAGAAGGAAGGTCTTTTATTTTCTATATTGTACACGAATTCGATAAATATAACAGTTAAATATTTATTATTTTTTATTTAGGAAGTTATAACATTTTCTTAGGTATATACACGCGGTTTACATGTAACACGCATACATGACTGCATTAAATTTATTTCAAAATTAAATTGTTATTTTCAAAGCATGTAAAATAAAATTTTTATTTACAATTTTTTATTCAAAGGACCGACGCGTGAGGCCTTTTTGGATGCCGCGAAATTCCGTGCATGCGCAGACGTAAGTTCGTGTCTGGTTTGGACTACGCAGTGTCACGTGACTTCAGCGCGTATATACGTCCTGCTGCCGGCAAATTTCCTCATTCATTCTTTCGAACCTTTGCGACAAGGTTCTCTTTTCTAATTTATACCATAACTTTCTGATGGTCTGTCATCGTGACCAATGGGTAATTGCTTCCGGAGACAGCCAGCAAAGCGATCGACCACCCATTTTTGCTGTTGTGATTTTTGTAAACTATTTAATTACAATTTGAAACAAAACATGTACATAAAAGGCAATAATTAGAAATTTTCATGATTCGATGATTTCTTTTGTTACGTTTGCAAAGTAAAATAAGTGGAAAAAAGACAAACGCGAACTTTTTCTGTATTCGAAGTACAAGTAATCATTGAATTTAGTTTGAAGTTGCAATTCGTCTGGAAGATCTTCCACGCAAAGTAAAAAAAAATATTTCGTGGACGGTTAGTGACGCGGTAATGGGTCTGACGGATACGAGTTTCGAGGTACTTTTGACCCTGTGGCGGGTTCTCGTCGTGGGAGTCGTGTGGACTGAAGAAGCTTGTGGTCACTGTAGCAGTGTCTTGTCGAGCCACAGCATCGTCGTTCTCGTTCGTTAATCATTTCGGAGAGGTTATTTGGTAAGTGAAAAGTACACGATCTCAAGTATTCAACGTCGATTATAATTTCTATTGGTATTCAAGAACTTGACTTATTTGTTAATTTCTTATGAATTAGAAGATATAAAAATCATGCATCTATCTTTTAAGATCCAGACATTTTGGGAAATAATTTGTACTCTCACAGAAACAAGGTCATAATTAATTAAGGAGCTAGTATCAAGAAATAGAAGAATATGAATAATAAGGAGGGAAAATTTGAATCAAAGTTATAACTGTCTCTGATTATAGAAGATTTTATTAATAACAAAAAGAAACAAACGATAAATTTATATTGAAATATGATTTGAACATTTGTATTAATTATTTATTTACTAAATGATATTTTTCATTTCTTTGCTATATTTCTCAGGATTTTAGATAACATTTTAACAATTGTAGAAAGGTCAGTATAGGTATCTTTTATTTTAAATATTGTATGTAACCTCTTTTTAAATATCTTCTGGACATGACTGCAAATTCCTTTCATTACTATCGTAGGAATATTACTATCTGTTATCTGTTGTTTGGGGAACAACGGGAACAAACAACAAGTTTGTTAAGGAAGAATATCGAAATAACGCGATACATTTTCTTTATGATTTATTATAGGTGCATACATATTAAAATTACCTATCACTAAGTTAAGTATTATTTACTATGGTATCTTAAGGTATAAAAAATGATTGAAAATAGATTTTTATTTATTTTATAAATGTTACGAAAATAATCTGGTAAAGATAAAGTTTATAAACAGAATAAATTCGAACAATTATTTAAACGGGTTTGACGGGTTACAAGTGTACGTTCCATGTGTAAATACTTATATTTTTCATGGTCGTTTGTGGTTTCAACAATTATTTCTTATACTCTCATATTTCAACATCTAATTCGCTTTTAATAAATAGGTATGTTACGAAGAATTCTATACCAAAGGATATGTTTTCCTTGATATATTGACATAAAATCTTAGAAGTTGTAATAGAATGTAGAAGAAAAAATGGTTTAATATTTGAGATCTATTAAAATGTTGTGTCAAAGATCAAAATGGTGGCATTATACTATTAAACGTATTTATATATACGTATAACAAAATTTTAAGAATGAAATTCTATTTTCCTATTACCTATTGCATGAAAGTATTAACATTGCTAATTTATAACAAAATTGCTAATTTAACTTAGCTATGACTATTATTCCTTTCAAAGAGTGATTGCAAGATGATTTCGCTATACTTATATATAATAAAGAGAAAGGGAAATTTAAAAAAGGGAAGACAACGAGATAAGTCCGCGCCGTGTGAAACTGAGAAAACTATAACGTGAAATGAATATGAAAAATAAAGAACGAAGGAAACTATGATCGATTAATTGCTGATATTCCTTTATATGAAACGCGAAAGTGTTTTCTTGAGTATTATTTGAGGAATGATATTAGCTTGATAGAAAAGTTCAGTCTCTAGATTTTTTCTATATGAAACATATATTTCAATCGTTAAAACGTAAACTGTAAATCAATGATGTAATATTGCAGAATTGTTAAACAGATTATATCGCTTCATAGCAAAGCGCTTCCTAAACGTTGCATTTTGTACGGGTATTAGAGAGAAAAATTTGTTACAGAGGCAGTTTTATAGGATTTTCCAGACAGATTGATAATTTATTCATATCTTTGTAAAACTTTTGACAGAAGAAAAATGTTTAATATCGAGTTATTGGAAGAATATGTTAGTAATAAAAATTAAAAATTCAACAACGATGGAATAAATGAACTGTCAGATAAGAGAAAGGAAACTATAAGTAACAATGAATGTTATACTGAAGATTAATTAGAAGAAATTTCAGTTAAAACAATTGATTATTTTTCATGAAAAAAAAAAAATGACGGAATTGTGCGATCAATCTAATGATATAATAAGAACAGGAAAAGAAAGACACAATCTTGCAACGTTACCTTGAATAGAAGATAAAAGCTCTAGCCCCACCGGAGTTAGCCATTCCGTTTCTTCGAATTTGCACACTTTCAACGTTCGATCTCCCTCTATTTCTTCAGTGCATTCGTGTGTCACCGTTTAAATCTTGAGGAACACGCGACGGTTATGTTTCGTTCGCTTTTTTCCGAACAAGGCTGTCTTTAATAGATCTCGAAGCGGTGTACGTGCCTTAGATTTGTTTCTCGGTAAGATATTTGTTTCATAATGTTTGATTGCACGCGCCTGTGATTAAAACTAGTTTGACTTCAACGTCTTACTGTGTAATTCTATGCGTAACGCTAGACTCTGTGGGATGACCTGGTGCGGGAAACAATTGTTTTTATCGTCGCAATTACAATTGTTATTCAGTGTTATGTGTTTGAAATAATTCTCTGTATATAAATCGTTTAATATTATAGTGAAAAATAACATTTATGATTCATAATTATTAAAACCATCGGTTAGCGATAATGGTATGTGAGTTTTATTAAATTTTAAAAATGAATGGCGAATTAATAGCTGAAATTGATTCTTTCATTAAAATTTTAAGTACATTTTTTTTTATAGTTATCATGCCGGACTGTCTTAATTTTAGTTTAGAACACATATTGCAGCTTTTTTATGTTTTAAAAGAGTTAAAGTTTTCTTTATTACTATGAGTTTTGTGTTTTAAACTAAATACTTCAGTAGTATTAAATAAAACTCTAATCATGGAATTTTCAATCAAATCGTAGTTATTTTACAGACTTTTCCTTGGGCTTGTTGTTTTCTAGTTTTCTTTTAACGTTGGAGCCTATCATGCTAATAATAATTTCATGAATACTATTCATTGAATGGTAATATTATAAATAGTAGTTTTGGCCTATAGAATATATTTCTCATAAATATTTCACAAATGCTATACTAATTTTATTCCCGTTAGTTATTCCATTTTGTATTCATTACTCAGATCTCCAATAAATAGTTAGAACGTACAATATTGCAACTGGTTTTTGCATTTTGTTCATGAAACCATTTTGCGAATGTTGTGACAGATCAGAGAAGCACAATGGGCTTTTTATCCAAATAAATTGAACAAGAATAAAATGTAACGTTTACAGGATTACAGCCTAAAATTAAAAAGTGAACGAATGTAATTGAAATTTAACAACTTTGGTATTTCACATTTTTCGTGAGCTTAAGGATGAATTTAATATATTACTCGCGATCGGCCTACATGATTTTAAACCACCTAAAGACTAATCTGAATGAAACTTTAGTAGTCGTAACAATTTAGATTAAAAATCAGTTGAAATAAAAGCATCATTTTTCGTCGCACCTGTTTACAGAGACACCAAGTGGGAGATACTAACTGCGAGAAAGAGAGAAAGAGAGTTCTATCGTCGTTCGGCAATAACCGCCGAATATCAATTAATCGGGTCGATCTATAGACAAGCATGGATCAGTGCGTGTGACAGAAAACCCCTCGTCGAGAGTCCCCTCGAAGCCGGCACCGCGGTCGCCTTTGAAATATACGCTGTTTATCCGGAACCCGTCACCAGGGCACAATGAGCCTCGCTCGGGGGTTAAGCGTTGTCGCCTGAAGGGCTATCGATAACTTGTCGTCGCCAAATTACACGTGACCGCGCCCGCACGCGCCCGCACGCGTTTCCTCCATCCACCACCCTCTTTTCTTCTACCACATCCATTCTGTCACCTTCCCTCTCTCACCTTCTCATCGTATCTTTAATCTTTTACAAAACATAATATTAAACTGGCGTATACGAAATGTCCTTTTCTCCAAATAAAACTTTACACTTCTTTCGAAACATTATATCGTTTAATCAAAGAAATTTTCATGTAATTCAACGCATTTTCCCGACGATGAACTAGTTCCATTATCCTATATTTATAAGAATTATCTTTTAAAAATCGAAAATTCTTATTTACGGCTTCCCTTTTTTTTCTTTTTTAATACGACCGATAGTCGGGGCAGAACAAAATGTAATGGATGATATTGGTTAAACTTCAGAGAAACGACAAATTAGATTTCGATCGACGGAGAATTAGCGAACTTTTAGATATGGACGTTTTAGAAAAAATCGCCGCGGAACGAGGACCCATTGTGCTTGTCAACTCGGTCGAGATATCCCTGTCTATTCGATGGATTTCGATTTGTTGCTGTATTTCGTATCAGGATTTTCATGGAGTGCGTCTCTTTGTCTCACAATTTAAATCATCGACCACTGTATCGGGTTGTTCGGGAAATGTGTGACCAAGTTTGAGAAAATTTTAATTTTGTTGAGAATTTCAAAACTTTTTTTGAGTAAGTAACGTGATTTGAATGTTTAGAGACGTGCACATATCTTTTATTAACGTTTAATTTCACTCATAGTTTCATCAAATTACAGATTTTGTCACTTGTCAGATCATTTTTCATCTGATCCTCTCAAATAATTTTTCTTCCAATCTCATCGAATATGTACACAGCTTTCCAAATAATCCAATATTTCGATAATATTACATGTTGGCTGAAATTTTGTTGATTAACAAATTTATAAGTATGAAATAGTCAGTAGATAAGCCAGAAATCGTCAAATTTTGTTTGTTGTTTGCTTCGCTTCCTTAATTCTGCAGGAAAAATGATTTTTAACGAATCAATTTGTTTATTACAGAACGGTGAGACATGTCGTCAAGGGTGGTGAAAAATCATCCAAAGATGAATGGCGGCGTTGATGGCAGGGAGACTTGGTCCGGCAAAGTTGACTTTCTCTTGTCTGTTATTGGATTTGCTGTCGACCTTGCCAATGTTTGGAGATTTCCTTATCTATGTTACAAAAATGGCGGTGGTGAGTATCGCAACATTCTATCTTTTTGGAATTATGTAGCTACTATTCATATATACAGGGTGGTTGGTAACTGGTGGTACAAGCGGAAAGGGGGTGATTCTACGCGAAAAAAGAAGTCGAAAATATAGAATAACAATTTTTCGTTCGAGGCTTTGTTTTCGAGAAAGTCGACTTTGAATTTTCGGTCGGTACGCGTGCACTTTATCGCGTCTCGTTATAACGGATCTCACTGTAGATCGTTGTCTCGATGGAAAAATTAAAAAAAAAATTTTTTATTCTATATTTTCGACTTCTTTTTTCGCGTAGAATCACCCCCTTTCCGCTTGTACCACCAGTTACCAACCACCCTGTATATATGAATAGTAGCTACATAATTCCAAAAAGATAGAATGTTGCGATACTCACCACCGCCATTTTTGTAACATAGATAAGGAAATCTCCAAACATTGGCAAGGTCGACAGCAAATCCAATAACAGACAAGAGAAAGTCAACTTTGCCGGACCAAGTCTCCCTGCCATCAACGCCGCCATTCATCTTTGGATGATTTTTCACCACCCTTGACGACATGTCTCACCGTTCTGTAATAAACAAATTGATTCGTTAAAAATCATTTCAGTTACCAACTACCCTGTATATAATCGCAAGAAGTACAAATGGACACAAAAAGCGCGTTTTTAACTGTGATGCTTTGTTTCCTTTATATCAGATAAACCAGATATTTCTGGATAATGATATGCGTAGGAATAGCAACAGAATAATGCTTAACAACGAATAGATCGTTTCTAATCGTGAATACTACACATCACGCTTGATCGACGATTATCAATGCGTTTTCAGCGATTAAAAACAAATTTTGCAATCTCGGTAATTCTCGAAACAACGTAGATTAAACTTAGTTAATAGGACATAGGTATATAGTATATAACATTTTTATATTTAAAATATATTAAAAGAAAAATCAAGATTTGATTTTTCCTCCACATTTATGTACTACTCGGGTTGTGAAATAACGATTACGAAATCCGTGAAACATTTAAGATATTGAAAAATATTTTCAAAGATATTAATCCTGTCAAACATCCTGTTATTTTATCTGATAGCGTTGCAAGGCGTTATTTCGTAGTTGCGCAATAGGGGATGCATCAAGTAATGCATTCCGGCAGTAAGGTAACATCGCGTTAACCGGTCGACTAATTGGCATTTACCTCGTGGAAAATGACCCTGAGATTTAGATTTCACTCTAGGCTTCTTATCCGTGAAAGCATCTGCTGCAGGACTCAAAATTGGCCTAAATTAAAGCGAAAGAGCAATTTAAGAGTCACGCACCGACTCGGAAGATTACAGCGTCCACGTAGATTTAATTCTTAGCCCTAGTTACATCATGTTTTCGATTTAGTTTCCATGTCAATCATCTCCTATATATTCTGTTCAAATAAAATTGTATGATCGATTTCATTTAAAGAAGCTTAAGCGATCGTGATATTTAGGAAAATATTTGAAGTGTCTTGATATGAGCGACTTTTTGTTCCAAGATTTTTTTTCAAACAACGTTCTCTTTTTTTAAAACGTGAGCGAGATTATTACGTAACAATTTAAATACCGTAACGAATTAAAACCGTATTTCAAACTTATCACTAGACTGTGGATGTCTATGCAAATCCATAGCTTTATAGAAAATTGTAAATAAAGCGGGGGATCTGGAAAATAAATTGTTTTACCTGTAGGAGATTTTTGTACTATTTATCTTGCATATTCTCTATGTTTCATATGTTTTGCGTATCTTTTTTTTAAATACACATGTAAGAATACTTATTTTTATCATACTTTTGTTATTTACTAAGAGTAAGAAAGTTTGTAATCGCTATTCGCAATTTAATATATTCAGCACAATCTTTAAATATCATCGAAAAAGTCTGATGAATATAAATGGAAATGTTAGAAAAAAGACCGCGCTGAAATCTTAAGACGACAGTTTCACTTTCAAGGTTACATTATGAATCGTAATATAATGGTATTGTATTATATTTTACGAACCTGTTTTACTTTTATTTATCACATACAAAGTTCGAACCCTTTAGTTTTCTTTTACAAACCTTCTAACAACAATTTCCATAAGCAACTCGCAGCGACTTTGAAGACCGAGTTCAGCGATGACGATGATGACGACGACGGCGGGGTCGATGACGATGGCGGCGACGACGTTATTAGCTTTTGTTCTATAGAGTCTTTCGTAGGAATACGATTAGGACCAGCTATCAGCGATACGGGGCCTCCTCAAAAGCGGCTGCTAACTCAATTAAGAGGAGAGTAGGGCGCACCATTAGTACCGACAAGATCGGTCGCTAATTTCCAATTACCTTAATTAATTATAATTTCCCATTCGGGCCGGCCTTTGATCATGGACGTTCGCGACGCCTCTGTCTGCTGCATGACACCGTATACGATCCATTATGTCCCATGATTTTGCCCTGTGTTTCACGCTTCTTCTTTGCGAAAATTTACAAATTTTCCACATACGGTTTTGTTGTCATCATTTCCTCGTTGTAAACGAAACAGCTTTAAACAACATGATTCAAATAAAATAGGTCGTGGATTGAACTGAACATTGCGAATCGATTTTGTACGTTTATATCGCCGGATTGATTATTATAGATTTGAAAAAGTAATTATCCTTGCTTAGAACAGGATCTGGTTTTACATAATATGTTGTTAAACCTTCGACTCACTTTTAGATACACGTGTATGGTGAATAATGGCATGAACGTTGGACGATTAGCTTCATCATCTATGAGTCAATGGTCAAATTGTTTCATACATAGAAGCTGTAATTGGAACTTTGTATGTTTACGCAAAAGGTTAAAAATTGTTCGTGTTTATCGAATTTAGAAAATATGGAATTTTGAAAATTACAGCTTTTTCAACTTGTAAAGTACAGCATTTTACTACGTGTAAAGTTGGTATCGTGATAGATTACGTATAACGAAATCACACACTCACACACACATAATTTACGAAATCGATTTTCTAGGAAGCTAAACCGGGTATAAGGAAACTTTATTTTTCATATTTCTGGTTAATTCTTTTTATAAGGAATCACTTCCTCACGTAATAGATATATGGTTATATAAGACTTATATTTTATGTTTCATTAATGATTACTATGTTGTGTATACAATATATGATTAGCATTAGAGATTGTGCAGGTTTCATATTTTTTAACGAAATACTGTGACTCATATGTATACTCCTGTCCTTAAATTGCAGAACTCTGATCATCTAGTAAATTTAGATTAAAGATAGATGAATGTTATACATAAAATGATAAGATGAAATTGAAGAAAGATTTTGTTATTATAATAAATGCTTTATGTATAATTTTCAAATGGTCAAGTACAAAATGGAAATGTACTTTATGTTCTAATTCACTTATTTATAGTTCCATGAATCCAACGTAACGGTTTAAATAATGCATTTTCTCGTTGGATACGCATTCATAATAAAGTTTTTATTCTCTGCGGTTACAGTGACTGCGTTTTAATCGAATTTCTACCTTTTGTATAATTTATCGATGAATATTCCTTATTTGCTAATGAAGCACAGAGATATCTCAAATCTATTTTACATCTAAATTAATTTCATTGAAAAGTAAAAATTTATTTTAAATTGGTGTATTTTTATAAAACGGTAATGAAATATTTTCAATTAGACACGAATGAAGCGAATAGAAAAAAGGAAGAAGACTGGATACTGTGTAGGAATAAATTCATTGATATTTATAATTTTTTCCTACTCGAAGTCAAATTTTTGATTTCAAAAAGCTTTGTTGCAAAATGTACCGAAGTTGTTGATTGAACATTTCAGAAAATTTTTCGAATGCGAAAAGCCATTCATATAAACCGTTCAGAAGTCACTTTTATCAACTCTATAAATTGAAAAATACAAATATGTTACAAATACTATTTCTTAAGTTTACCTTAGAATTTATTAATATTTATATCATCTATGTGCGATGAATGAACTTATAGGAATAAAGCACTCGTTCTTTGAGAATTGCCTGTTGATCGTATGCTTACGTAATGAAATTAAGAAATTAATAAAAGATCGAGTTGGATCATTTTGATTTCTGCGTGGTTTATATATTGTTAATGTACCATTAATACTTGATTAATGAATGTAATGTGCTTAAATCTTTAAATAAACTTAAAGCTTGAGAAAATATCTTATATACACTTAAATTTCTCAAGTCATTCGTATTACAAGCATTAATGAGTTACTAAAATCTAGTTGAACCCAAGTGCAAAGTGTCGGTCTTTGAAAATCGTTATATTTTCAAAGGACCAAAATTAAACGGAAATGTTATTCAAAGCCGGGCATTTGTTCATGACATACGGAAGAACTCTCTTTAGAGGTGCTATATGAATATATATATTGCAAGGAAATTGAAATACAAACGTTTATTAATAAAAATAGTAAAGAAATATAAACATAAGATTATTAAATAGAAACAAATATAAAATTAAGACACAAAAATTCCTTAATAGATTATTAAAGAATTCTGTTGGAATTTTAATGAAAGACCGTTATCTTAACTTGTATGTAAATATGAATACAGCAAGTTTATTACGAACTTGTTATGAAGCTATTACGACATTAAAGCACATTGTAATTATTTAAACAAGTTTAGTCGCTTTTAATAGTTCTGAGATTTTACATTTAATGTTGCAATCGATTTCTAAGAATTTTTCTACACATGCATATGTATATCTATGTGTACGTTGTTCATGTTTATATAGCGTGGTATATTAAATATAATGATGAGTCTCCTAACCATACCATTAGAAATATAATCGACGAACATCAACACATCATCGATCTTTAACAAGGATAAGGAGATTTGAATATGAAAAATGTTTGATCGTACGTTTTCATAAGGAAACTTATAATTAAAAACATTACAATTAAAATAAATTGTTCACAGATAATTAATCGAATTACATGGTTTCTTATATTTAATAATATACTTAATAAGTGATTTTCTAATTATGGATGAAACATCATGGTATTTAGCATTTAGAAGAAACACATATTTCTTAAAAATATTTTATTCTTATCGAAGCACTTTACTGAATTTTTGTCTAAATGATTTGTTAAAATATAATACTTTTTAAGTAATTAATATCTGCATTATGTGGTATTCAGTTTATCTTTGATAATCTACGAAAATAAGTTCTAATAGCTTTATATTATTTCCTTCAAAAACAGACAAGTCCATTTTTTACTAAATATTAAAGTTTCAATAAGTTTTAATTTTCGTTATACAAATGGACAAAGAACATTCAAAAGCACTTATGTCGAATTTATTCGTCAACGAGAAATGAGAAAAATTCATCACTGCAGGGCATAAGAAAAAGGGAATATCCTTATTTAATGCGATTACGTCTCCGTGGTTACTAAGAAGAATTTATTGGGAAAAAACGAAGACGGGCAACGAGTAAGAATGTTCAACATATCTGAGGAAATTTGTATCCAAAACATAGAAGATATTGTCCATGCATGTTCCTGACTTTTAGAATCTACAAAACGTGTGCAAAAAAAAAATATTATTTAAATACTTGTTATAGATATATTGTTTTACTTAAATAATGGTTAATTTAAATAATGAATACATACTAAATACATACTAAAATTTGTTGGAATATGCTATGCATTTACTATATATTGTTTACCCTATTTTTACTTTTTTTATATAATCTTGATTTCGTTCTAATACCGAGTGCTAATTAAGAATTCATGATACTTGTATTTGTTTAACCGTTTGATAAATCAGCTTTATCAGAATCACCATTTCAGCCATTGCCTTGCTACATTTTCAAAAGTTCGCTATCGAATTACGTACCTAAAAGCACCTTGCTGCCACTGGTGCTCTAAATATTCTGCAATTCAGTTATGCAGCTAACACGATGATGCGAGTGGCTCGCACATCACTTTTTTCCTCGCTCTTCATATCGGTCTCTTGTCACGCGGCAGATGTCATCAAAGATGATAAGAATCCGGACGTGTCCCACAGTGCCTGTAAATAAATTAAACGCGTTCAATTTGATCAAAGATATGAACATGATTTTCTCGTTTTCTAATGAAAAAACTTGCTGTTATTTTATTCATACCTAAATACCACCATACGTGAAAGTATTTAAAAGTTTTTAGCGTTCAGACATTTCTCCTCCCCATTAATTACAGTTTTAGAAATTTTTATTATATCTGATCATTATTGAGAGAGTTATTATTTTATTATTTATGTTATACTATATTTATGCTTACAGGGGCTTTTCTGGTTCCGTATTGTATAATGTTGGTGGTAGGAGGAATTCCGCTGTTTTACATGGAACTTGCTCTGGGTCAGTTCAATCGAAAAGGTGCGATCACTTGTTGGGGTCGCTTGGTGCCACTTTTAAAAGGTAAGATCCTTTTCTTAATTATGTTGGTGCTAATTACTAAACCGAGAATAATAGTAATAATGTGACGGTTCTTCGATGACTCACGTTTTTAACGCTTTAATTTTATAAATTTCCTAACAGAAATTTAAAGTATATATCAATGCTCGCAGAAATGTTTGTTTCTTACCATTTACATTGTATAATATCGTATAATAAAACAACAATCAATTATACGAAATACGCATTCAAAACCTAAATAACTGAACACAGCATATTTCGAGAAACCCCGTCTAATATCATCGAGCTTAGAAGTAATCGCGTTAAAATTCCTCTTCCACTTGATTCTTTGCACCGAAAAGATCAACAATGGAGGTAATAGCATCACTGTGTGCGATTACTTTTCTGATTGACTCTCAGAAGACAGTTCTGGAAACGTTTCAAAGCACTTTACCGTCATCTTCTACGACGAGGAACTATGCATTAGACACGGCCGGTATATTTTCTTTTCTTTTGCTCTACATCGCGCTATACGGTACATTATGTAACGCGTATAAATCCTGGAAAATCCGAGGATGGAAGACCACTTGAGAAGAGCTTCCATTTCCGTCGATTTCCTGGATCGTGACGATTTCACCTAGGATCGTCGTGATGATCGATGGGAATGCAGGATTCTTCTTGACTCTTGTCTTCTGCGCGCTTTTTCCTTCTGATCCGCATCGATGAACGACGTAATTGATTCGCCGCTCAAGACACATTTCCCACGGGATAATGGAATATTCTCCGGCTCAGGAATCAGAACATAGGACATGTCCTCCGAGATTTTTAATCCTTCTGAAACGCCAATTACCTTTTTACTGCTTAACTATATATGGAAAGAGACTTATCGTTCTGAAAATTAAATGAATCGCGTCCATTCTACCTTCGGTCATTGATATAGTTAAATATAGTTAAGTACTAACGTAATAAATTAATATAAATTATAAACCGTTGCATAAAATTGATTTATCCAAACCTCCAAATCTAGTTTATTACTAGTTTATTAAAAGTTCGAAATATGTTCAAAAATTGAATATAACAATCGAATGTTTGCATAGGTATTGGGTATGCAGTGGTACTAATTGCATTCTACGTCGATTTTTATTACAATGTGATCATTGCTTGGGCATTGAGGTATTTCTTCGCCTCATTCTCCAGCCTTTTACCTTGGACCACTTGTGACAATCCATGGAATACGCCACATTGTCGAGCGTTTGACGCTAATATTTCTTATACATTCGACAATATGTTTGGTTCGCTCGATTCGATAGAATCTAGTAATTCCTCCCTAATAGCCGAACATTTGGGTAGAGATTCAAATCAAGGCTACAACAATACGTGGTACACGAGCGCTGCTCAAGAATATTTCAAGTAAGTTTTATTCTGGATATCTGTTTTGCGTTAAAAGCGTGGATTTTCTATATTGCTTGTGCTTTGTTGTACATATATCACTGATATTCGTTATTTATGAATAGACTGCGAATGTTTATACATACACATTTTTTTTATGGAAAATTGGTAACAAAACGGAGCCTGTATAGCAATTTGCTTTGTTTTCAGGCAATTTTTTAAGGCTATATCATATACTTACATATTTCATAATACGTTTATCATATTTAAAAATCGAAATAATCAAATATTACGAAATAAGGAAGAAGGCATGTTTTTGAGCAACTAATTCGGTAATTTTCTTGACAGTCGAGCTATTCTGGAGCTTCACGAAAGCGAAGGTTTACACGATCTTGGGACAATTAAATGGGATATTGCGTTATGTCTGCTGGTAGTCTATCTGATTTGTTACTTCTCTTTGTGGAAGGGCATTTCTACTTCTGGCAAGGTAAACTTTTTATGGTGTAAATTTAGATTTCACGTCACCAGTCGTCTAGAAATAAATTCTACAGTAGAAATAACTGTAAAAGCAGTATGAACAAAAATGTTACTTCATCTTTTTACTATTACTCTAATATTTTGTTCACGTTATAACTCTTTCTTATGACTACTGTTGGTTAACCATAACTTTTTTGTATTAAAACGTTATGCTATTATCAACAATCTAAGATTATCGTTCCATCGAATAGAACGATCAAACAATTTTATTCTTTTGTTATAGGTGGTTTGGTTTACGGCTCTATTTCCTTATGCTGTTTTACTGATCCTACTTATACGAGGCGTCACGTTGCCAGGAAGTCTGGAAGGAATACGCTACTACCTTAATCCGAATTTTTCTGCTATAACAAAAGCTGAGGTAAATAAAATAACGTTATTTCACAATTATTCTATTACAGTAGCTTTTGAAAGTCATCCTACAGATATAAGTCAGAAATAATTTAGTTAAAACGAACGAAACGTACGTACAGATATTATCAAATTTATGTAATAATAAAAAATATATTGAAACTAATTTATACGCGATTGTACCTTGAAATTATTACGCAATATCGTAGTTTCACTTTTGTGGTTTATCGTGAGTTTGTCGACTCCGCCTCTTGAATTTAGCGAATCGCCTTTTCAGGGGATGATCGCGGCGTTATGAAATATGTAGCTATTTACAGTGGTCATGGAAAAGAATAAGAATCCGAGGGTCAGCAAGCTAATGCACCGGCGTAAGAGGGTCGAAAAAATCGGATAGTGAGAAAAATGGGAAAGGGAGAAACGTGCCGAGTTTAACCGACGACGCTGAAAATGGAAACTCTGTGTACCTGTCATAATGACTATTAGAGTTCGGTCCAGTCACGGCCATGAAATCTCACGTTCTCACCCTCTTGACTCGCAAGTGAAATGCATTTTTCTCTGGCGACTTGAATACCGTTTCTAGATCGCTCGAGTAAATTTTGCACAACGACCGAGAAAAATTTGTTGACTTCTAAAATATCAGAATTTACGAATCGTTGTCTCTGTATCTTCCTTTCTCTTTTTTACGGAGGAAGATGTTTAAAAGTTAATAAATTTGTCGATTACTTTTACGACGCAAACGTAATCTTCTGGAAAGAAAGGGACGGAAAAAATAAATCTTTCTTTATTAAAGAAGATAAACTGCCTTTTTTGAATTTTGGATAAAATTTCAATTTCAATCGTAAAATTGAGACTATCTGGCGATTTTTCTTGAATGCTTAATCTCTATTTAGGTGTGGGTGGATGCCGCAACGCAGGTGTTCTTCTCTCTCGGACCGGGTTTTGGGGTGCTTTTGGCTTATGCAAGTTATAATAAATATCACAACAACGTTTACAAGTAAGTAATATGTGTGTAATTAAGTATATTTCATTTTTAACTAGTTTTAGATAGTGAAGTTTTACAAGTAATGAGTATAATAAATTGTTTAAACGGTCTCGCTCCTTTATTTACTATAAGTATATTTTTCATTGAGAACGAATGGATAGAAAATTAGCCTAATGTGGAAACATACTTTCCTCTTTTTTCTTAATCTTGACTTAATAAAATAAAGTCTTAACTTTTCATAAACTTTTCATTCGAACGCGCTATCATGAAATAAAACTGAATTAGAAAATAATGAAATTTCACTTTTCATTGAACAAATTTTTATTTTCATTCAATTACATAAAATATTCTCAATCTTATTATCCAATATTTATAAATAAAAATCGTACATTTGTATCTAAATATCTATAGATTTCGATTGAATACATAAAAAATAATAAATTTGTGTACTGATAAATGTAAAATTTATTTGTCGCTTACATGTTTTCCAGGGACGCTTTATTAACCAGTTTGATAAACAGCGCAACATCGTTCGTCGCTGGTTTTGTGATTTTTTCTGTACTAGGGTACATGGCTCGAGCAAGTGGAAAGTCCATCCAGGATGTAGCGACTGAAGGACCTGGTCTAGTGTTTATCGTTTATCCTGCTGCTATCGCTACTATGCCTGGATCGATGTTTTGGGCGCTTATCTTTTTTATGATGTTGCTTACGTTGGGGTTGGATAGCTCGGTATGTCGCTATTCATATAACTTCTATTTATTATTGTTAGAAAAAATACAGCAGATTTAATGAAATATTGTTCTGTGCAATTAAGACAACGAGAGAACAGTATGTAATTAACTTGAAAACTGTGACTACATAAATTATCATTCCTCGTGATAATGTTAGTATTCGATAATGTTAGTTGTGTTAATTTTAATTACTTAATTAATCTTAATACTCTATCGCGAACACCTTACAGTGCAATATAATAATTCAATTATATTATATGTGTAATCAATTCTCTTTTTGAGAGCATAATCAAATCTTTTCTTGTAGTTCGGGGGCTCTGAAGCGATAATAACTGCTCTTAGCGATGAGTTTCTAATTATCGGGAATAATCGCGAAATTTTCGTCGCTTCGCTTTTCACGCTATACTTCCTCGTTGGTTTAGCCTCGTGTTCCCAGGTAAGACGATGACTATAACGCATTTCATGAAATAATTGTAATTGACTCTGCTACTTCATTTGGATCATTTTCGATCTAATCGTGTTTTTTTTTTATCGTTAAAAAACTTCTTGGCATAATTGATCTTTACATAAAAAATGATATTTGTTATACACAGGGTGGCTTTTACTTTTTCCACTTATTGGACCGATACGCAGCTGGCTACTCGATGTTGTTTGCAGTTTTGGCGGAGGCGATCGCTGTTAGTTGGATCTACGGGGTAGATAGATTTTGCGCAGATATTAAAGATATGATTGGGTTTTCACCTGGAATCTACTGGAGAGTCTGCTGGAAATTCGTTGCTCCGATATTTCTCATGGTATATCTGCCACACACATAGCTCTATATCGTATACAACGTGCATTGTAATTAGTATGATACTTTCCTTCTAACTTTCGCATAATTAGTAAAATAATACACATGTACCTAATATTTTGTTAAGTACAGATCTTTTTCAATTTCTTCAAATTTGTACTACTCGTATTCCTTTCAGAAATGTAATCAATCAATAGTTAAATAGGTCACAATTCTCTATTCCTTTTCTATATGTCCTTTGCCAAAAAATTAATTTTTTATATTGTTACAGTTTATCATCGTTTACGGTTTAATGGGTTATGAACCACTGACTTATGAGGATTACGTGTACCCTGTCTGGGCAAATGTATTAGGCTGGTTAATTGCGACTTCCTCAATTGCCATGATACCCGGCATCGCAATTTATAAGATCGTCGTCACGCCCGGCAGTTTCATTCAGGTAATATCATGATTTTAATACAATTGATTTTATTTCCTTTTGGCGTTTTCGTCGTAATGATATTGTTTAATATGGGATAACAGAAATAATTTGCATACGATTTCTATAATCGACATGTTGTAAATGACAATATAAGTTCTATCTGTGCAGCGTAGAGAGTTATAGACGCACGATAGATAGATGTACGTAATAAATTACAGAGATTGAAAGTTCTGACCACTCCCTGGAGAGATACTCAACAAAGAAACGCAGATCTATCCTCGGTGGTGAACGGTGCGGTTCGTCGTAGTTTTATCGCAGATCAGGATCTAAACGTAACAAAGGAACAACAAGATTTGACCAAAGAACAAACAGAAGTGATGATCCAATCCAGAGAAGGTGTTAACGGAGATCCACCTCCGGAGCCAGTCTAGGACAGTGCGGTTGTGATTTTGCACGGTGCCCGGTTCCAAGTATATCTTTGCTAATATTCTATCGTGGAAATATAGTTTTATTCAAAATTATTTCCACTCAATCACTAAGATTTCGAACGCACCCACTTAGATTTTACGATAAAAGTCCTTTCGTATTCATTCTTTACTCTCTGAATGACGAGGTTTCGAAATTTGGCGTAGTTTTGTGGCGTTGAACTTTTGAAATTCCTTGGACAACAGAAAAGGAGCTTTCCTTAACGGGACGCGATTTATTTACGAGAAATTTCCGAAACAGACATTCCGATGTCTCCTGTGAATCGTGTTAAGCTCCGTCGTGTTTTCGATTGTTTCATACCCACACTAGTCTTTTAATGCACTTGACTCTTTTCTTACCAATAATAACGCTATAGAATATCTGTAGTAAATGTATTTTGGTATCCGAATACGTGTAGAGATTATCGTATTTTCGTATATATATTATTTGCAGCATACAAACTTCAAACGAAACACAATTTAAAGGTAGAAGGCAGGAAGAATTTAAATTTGATTATGAACATGAAGATGATACAATTGAGTGCACAGAAGGAATAATTTTCTTCGACAACCTTTTTTTTTTGAAATATATCAATCTCACAATGTATTATTATACATATATGTTACGGACAAAAATCTGAAAAGACAAAACGCATTTTAATCGGTTAAAATGCCGAATCGTTTAATTCTCCTAGACAATATTTGTTATACACAAATAATCGAGAAATTCTTCCTTAGGTTTGCAGAAGCACTCAAAATATTGGAGGAAATAGGAACAGCTTCTGTATTTTCATTATAATCTATCTTTTGGTTGATTCACTATTATGCTTTACGCATTTTGTTCAGTCACAACGCGATTCTACTTACTTTTTATGTTATCTGTAGCATATATGTGACTTTTACCCAGATAATTTTTAAAACAAATTTAGAAATTTCCTAAAGTGTTCAAAAGAACACATTGCAAATGTAAAACATAGCCCAACCTGTAAATATTATAGGCTTCATGAAATTTCCTCGATAAATTCGTTAAATAGATCATGAATATTATTCTAGATCTAGTAAGTTCAAGGCTGTAATTATCCGAAGCAAGGAAATTTCTTGAGTAGCTTTAACATTCAATGAAACTTAATCTTTTGTCGATTAAGAATGTTTCGAAGAAACAAAGACGAAGAAAAGTTAGAGTCTTCGTTACATAAACGTTAAATCTATAAAATATAAAATATATAAATATATAAAATAAACATAAATACATAATTGATAAAGAAAGAGAAATGATTAAATGATTAAATAGAATTTATAGAGTATATTTCATTCGTGGAGTTGCCAATTTTATCGTCCTTTGGAAGAAAAAGTTTCTAGTATCTTAACTAGTATCTTAACGCGTCTTAACTTTCGTTGTATTCTGATTGACAATATTAATTCTGCGGGCATAGAAAGATATTCTATAAGGTTAAGTGAAAATTTCACGATGAAACTTCGATACTACTTTCCTATAAATTTAAATACTCTTTAAATTTGATGAACCAAAATTAAATTTTAAGCTGGTACACATGTACGATGTAAATAATATAAATCTGGAAAGCGTATCGCTAACAAGTTTTCAGAGAAAAATCTATAGAATACAAATTTATTCTTATCCAAGGGGTTTAGTGGAAAAATGATACGAGTACACTTTTTTTCTGAAAATAAAATAAATCTAAAAAGGGATACGTGGTATCTTCATTTATATAAAGGACTTTGTTTATTAAATTTCCAAGGCTTTATAAATATGTACGGCATCATTATAATACATTTTAATACATTTTAATTTATAATCTGTAGTTATTAAATTTATAGTATTAAAAGATGCTGTCATTCGTATCATTTTTCTTCTGAGCCCCTTATTTGTTAATAAAGGATTAACACACGTTTTACATAAATAAAGCGTTAAAGAAGTAATCTGTTCGCAGATCCAACTATCTCCATTTGATTATTCGAATGCTCTTACTTCGTCTGGTTCGATCGGACGTATATGCTGTGTAGACTATACGCGAATTATAATCACCGATCAGGTGTAAAATTTTACATTAAAGAATAGTGAATTTCAAGCGTTATCGAGAAAATGTGTCATCGTTAAGAAGCAACAGCGCTTTTACCCATACAATATTTAGTACAATCCAATACTCGTATAGATCTGGACCATTAAACACGTAAAATGCCATAAATTTATGATTAAAGTAACAATAATTTATTTGGAAAGTGGGTTACATATAACTGACAGCAGCAAATTACGTTACGCTAGAATATATATTATTAAACTGCGATTATTTATATAAATTCATATTTTTTATGAACAGAACTAAAAGAATAGGTACTAAATACGGATTTGTTTCATCTTCGAAATGCACTTTATTTCAGATATTTTATATTTGGATATTTTTATATTTTTATTTTTGGATTTTTATATTTGGATATTTAAATATTATATGTATTTTGTGCATTTTTGCCAGCTCGCATTTCTCATAAATCCATTAATATCTGCAGTCTATACGTAATGTGTCTCATTCCTGAGTGCTTTTTCCTTATACGCGGGTCAATCGCTTATGATTGTTAATTTCTAAACATTGTTGGTATTTATCGTTATTTTGATTTTTTGAAATATTATTATTTCTTATGAAACTATTTCGTTTTATTTTCTTTGCTCGATCAGTATTATAAAAAAAGATAAAGATGTTATAATGTAATATTATACAATTACTTAACCCTTCTATCATAACATTACTATTCCAAACAAAAATATCTATCGAATAATTCTTTAGAGTAATTTTCTGTCTCTTTATATAGAAATGTTAATTTGTACAAAGTTACGTTTGTCTATCTTCATAAAGGCGAGAATCGACGATACGGTAAATAACTGAGTATGTTAAGTATTTAAGAAATTATCGTCGTAAACTTGTTAGAAAATATTCTCTATGTGCAGATACACATATATGTACCATATAGTTCATAGTTATTGTTGTTAGATACAATGGTACGTATGTATGTATATTTATACGCATATACATATATACACATATATACAGGGGGAACCGTCAAAGATAAAATTTCCAAATGTCTTCTTTAACTATGAACATTTGAGAAAACGTCCTAAACGATTCGAAGAATTTTCCGAAGTGAAATTGACCTAAAAACTTTGTAATTCTTTTGTGTAAAGAATAGATCGACAAATGTTTCGTTTATATTCTTCGATTTGTAAATTAACGTGAAAAGATCGTCATAAACTACAAAAATTACCTACATAATTTCAAGATGTTTAGTAAAATAAAGATTTTGAAAAAGATTGTTTTAAGACAATTCGTTCGTATTCGTGTTTCGAAAACGTAGGAATTGTGTCGTCGACATTTTATAGGTTCTCGATAATCAAGAAAATTATTCGAATGTTCCGTTTAAGACAAACTTTCCTGTCCGTATATAATTGTATGTTATATTTTATACATCGCATCCGAGTTGTAACCACAGCCATAGGTAACAGCTCGGGCCTTGTTAATACAATAAATAAATAAATAAATATTCACAAAAGAGATTCAACGATTGCCTTCTAAACAAAATAATTTTCGTTCGTTCTCTCAACCCCTTATTATTTTCACGTCATAGACGATCTTATTAATATCAGTCTAATATAAGTTTAAGTAGTTATGAGAGACTGTGTCTAGTGGGATGCTAACGCATTTTGAGATATAATTGTGGACAAAGTACGTATCATCAGCTGGCTGTCGAAACGAGCAAAACCCATATAAAAAGAAGACTAAAAAGAAAACATCCCACTGACCTTACTAAAGAAATAAAGTAAACTCGAAGATGGTATCCTGCTGGAGGTAGCCATCTACATGTTGTTTAGCAATAAAGTTAGAAAAATTTACCAAATGTCCAGATGGACAAATCGTAAAGTACAAATTAAATACAAATCTTTGTCTTTTGTTTCCTTCCCATCTCTCACTTATCTTTTTCTTTATTTAGACTTCTCTTCCTTCTTTTTTCTTTTACCTGATACTTTTCCACGGAATCGTCGGTCCATGTATGTGTTCGAACCTCTTACTAAATAAAAAGCAAAGTATTTAAAATTTGTTATATTTATCTGGTTTAAAAATGTCATACTTATTGCGTTGGTTAAGAAAATATTTATAGATCTCATATAATTTTAAGTTTATCCTGTATTTAATCAATAATCTGACATCACATATCTATAAACATATTCCTTAAAAATTTTTTAAACTTTCAAGTCTTCAGTTACTCCTTATAAATTTTTGTTGACTTACGATTCTCGTACGCGCGCTATACTGCGTCTCCCGACGAATACGATCGAACATTTCCTTCGAGCCGGATTCACGTGCACTAAGCCTTCAAGTTAAGCAGTGTACACAGCTTTGACACCCAATGACCCTTTGACAACAGCACAGTGCTACGCTACTCCATCACAATCAGCGCAACGACCAGGTAAGCTGGTTAATTGCATCGCCAGGTCTAATTCCCGCCATAACAATGCCAAACGCATAAAAAATCAGCTCCTTGCGTCGAAAACGAGGTAGCCTGCTCGACCGATTTACGCTCATATCGAAACTACTCGACGAATACCAACAGTCCGGTTAGCAGCATGAGGCCCCTTAAGGTCATATCGGAAATTTATCGACGACGTTTTTTTTTTATTTGGTAGACTATTTACAATCAACTCTCATTGAGAATTATAAGTAAATTATTTTGGCGTGGTACTGTAACTTGGGCTATAAGAGTTTATAGTATGTTTGATTCTAGTTGAATCTAATGCTTCAATCTAAAGGGTATTATCTTTTTAGTCTCGGGGCATTGTTAGTAAGCGAGAGAGGGAGAAGGGCCGTGATCTCCTTCTGTGAGCAGGTTATGCTTCGGAAAGAGACTGCGGAGAGGGTGGGGGTG